ATAAATTTCAATTAATTTCATATGATTCAATTATAACTTCTTTCCATCTCTTTTCTTAACCTTTTGGGTTTTCGCCGTCCAAAAATTAACCATTTGTGAAGCTTCATTGTTTGGGGATTTTACCGATAAAGCTTTTTCAGATGCGTCACTCTTGAACGTATTTACAGTATCCATTTTTTAGCGCAACTGTATATCCATCTCTCGGTGTACAATCAAATTACTTACCTTGTTATATAGAATAATATGTAAATCTTCTAAGCACGTAACTGACGTCTTTGGAATGGTTGATCAATCGATTAAAAAGGAAAAGAAAATTAATGATACTTTCTTGAGTAATGAAATGATGGAAAATTATATTATTATTATATATTTTTCTTGCCATCACTTTAGCCATCTTTCAGATCAAGTAAAATACATCGTTGTGATTCGTTCTCTGAATATATGAATATACTTCTTTGTTTACTAATAGGAATAGTACGTTAGATAACCCAAGAATGCTTTCTCGCATCACGTTTAAAAAAGCAAATTTTGTAGTAAATCACAGTGATTCGTCAACACTTCCTTTTTCCTAATAATTTAAGCGAAGTCTAAATATGAAAATCAAACTAAAATTTTCATTAAATTGAAATATTATTAATCAAATCATCTATCGTGCGACTAATGCTGTCATTCTAGCTGTCACTTCCGGATTTTCATGAATTTGGTTCCGATATCGTTTTTATCGCTTAATCTAAACGCACTGCAGGTCTAGAAGACACAAAATAATTGAAATTCTTTTCAAAAGCTACACACCGTTAAATACATGAATCTTGCAAAATATTATTAACCTTCTAAATCACGTATAAATCAGGCAATTATGAGGATCAGTGCTCCTATTTGTGTATTACTATCCGTGTAACGTTGTCGAGAACATCCTCAAACTCAAACCTAGCATAAATATGAATTAATCGAGGAACGTAATGTATGAAGTATATTTTTCTTACTTACAGGGTGACAACATTTTTCTTCAATAATTGAGACTTGTTTTTTCATATTCATATGAAATGTACATCCTTTCTTATTTGACTCGATATATAAATATTATTCATTCAATTACTTACTAAGAAATACGGTATATTAATATACACAATTATGTATATTTTCCTTGGGTAAAAAGACGGCTCGTAAGAAATAATTGAAATATCGATCGATTGCCCATCGCTAGTTTTATTCCTTGAATTGTGTAACTGGAGACAGATGTTTTAATTCGTGAATTTGAATGGATATTCCTTTTACTTCGTAATACTACGTAATCATTATGATCGCTACGGTAAGAATGGTTAAGCCAATAATACATATAGTACCATATAAGTTAAAAGTATTATAGTAAACATTTAAGATGGTTTATTGAAATGGCGCTACGTTTAAGTAATCGTAATGTTGCAAGCATATTACACGTGGCCACTTTATCGTTCGTTACATTATTTATTCATTATAATGAAGTATTGATACGAGTTCTCATTTGATTTCCCTCGCCGATGACCAAGCGTTGCAAATTAACCTTTTCGAAATCAGATGGTTATCTAACGATTTAAACAATTATTAAAATATCGCTTCTCCTCTTCTTAGATGATATTCTCTAATCTAAAAGGTTCAATGGACACTTCGAATCATATCAACCTCGTTTACACAATTGCAATATTATTTAACACTAGGTTTACGGGCCTTTTATATATACCTGTTTCTACGAGCATCCGTCAAATTGACGGGCAAACGAAAACACGCATTTTCTTTAAAAAATCGATTTATTCAAATTAAGTCTGAATTNGTTATAAATTATTGAAACTAAATATGTCATTGAGATTTTCAAGAAATATTTCAATTGTCTTCGAATGAAATCTACAAGAAATCTTAAAAAATCTGTCGCTTGAGATATTTAACAAAGACTACAAAGAAATATTTAGAAATTATCCTATGCTACTAGGGAAGTGGTCTATTTATCGTGCCAGATATATCGGTAAGTTCGAGGCCTTTCTAGCATGATGTTAGTGTTTATTCACAAAAAACGAATGTTCCGTCAATCATCGAAATAGTCTGTGTCATTTTCCATACACTTTTGCCATCTCTCAGGCAACTGGCGAATCCCGCCTCGGTAAAATGACGGTGGCTTTGACTCATTGTTAGTGATGTACTTTCATAATACCAAGCATAAATATTTATAAAATTGAAGTAAGATTTGTTCGGAAATCAGATCAGAAATTGAATGATTGGCGTTAAGTATTCGGTGCCGTTTGCGCATGCTTTTGAATGTGTTTTGCGTGAAACTCTCCCAAGTTTCCAGATCACAGTTTGAGAAACTTTCAATTTCAAATATCACCAACTCCTAAGAATTTCAGAAATTACCGTGGGATTTAGCACACTTTTAAGGTGAAGTGAAACACGTCGAGGAACTTGATCGACGTCGATAAAGAAGATTTTTCTAAATGCCTACGTTGCCGACGTTCGTTTTAATATTGACAGCTGTGTCGAATTATATTGGATATTGTATCAAATGGCATACTCCACCTGTCGTTTTCGTACAATGAATGAGAAGAAATCGAAGTAAAAGTCCAGAAATCCTCTGGATTCATGCTTTTTGGAGCCCTAATTGACTGCAGAGGGACACACCATGCGCCATCTGTGATTTCCAGGTCAATTAAATTTTCACGCCAAGACCTCGTATTCCCATCGTTTTAGCATAGAAGCCCATACAACACTTTTTTTACCTTTATCTCGTTCAAATGCGAGTTTATCGATTACCAGAATGTTCTACATTGTTGTAAAATTGTCCTGACCCTTTCGTTTTTCATATCAGAGCTTTCAATAATTGTATATTGATCGAAATATGAGAGGTGGACGCTATTTTGGTTCTGGTCTGGGCTAAGTTAAAAATTTTTTTCCAAAAATCCAAATTTTGAATGTGTCGGGATAATTCTTAAATGATCAGGAGTGACGTGTCAAAGTTTCGGACAGTTTGATCTAATACCCTTAAAAAAAAGTGTTGTATTCGAATCGACTGATTTGAAGGGGGTTTCACTTCACCTTAATACTTGAGCCATGGGAACATGGAGCAACGTCATATTTAACTCACATTTGTAGCATTAACTAACTAACTTCATACAATATCCGCAAATTAATGTCATGGAATGATGTTAAAGCTCCTGTTAAATTGTCCATAAATTTTCAGTTCATAAATGTCGGTTATGGCATAACTGGCATATGACTTGAGTACGCGGTAAATATATCGTTATAACCATTTATGACAAATTTACCCCGAATTTTTGTTCAAATTTATTGTGTAATATGCGTACATATATTGCAGACATTTCATTCGGCAAATGGTCTGCAAATTATTTATAATGTTTTATTTATAATTACCTTAGGTCCTGAACGGTCAATTAATACAATAAATTGTGTCAAACGATAAACCCTATGTTCAATACAAGATGCTAAAAAATACGTTTTGCAGAGACATGAAGATAATACAGAGTTTCATTAACTAGCTTATAATAAAAAACATCCGGATAGGAATTGTTGTGCACTGATTTGAAAAGTCTGAATTTCTTACAAAATCCAAATTTTCCTTCTTTCTTGTTAATTTCATAACTCTATATAATAAACTCACGAAATGCCGAAAGTTGGAAGTTATGATTCGTAAACTGATCTCATAATTACGGGAAATAAATTACAGTTTGGGACAAAACCCGAACATGATCGTCTATGTGTATTATTTTATGTCTGCAAAGAACTTTTCTTAATATTTTAATACCAATGGTGAGTTAATGCAACTGAAAGAAATTCACTTCAATTATGCTTCAATAGGTCTCATATAGTAACGATTCTTTTAGAACTTAAATGGTTTGATCTCTGAAGTTTTGAGAACAAACTTCAGATGAAAACCTTAGATTGTGCTAAATTAAATGGAAATTTTCGTTAAATCCTTGTTAAGGGGCAATTTTCCATTCTGGACGGAAAAGGAAACGGTTAACGGAATGAAAGAGAAGTTCGTGAATGGAGGGAAGATCTTAGTCTCCTAGGTAAACGTCTCTATTTTCCTCTCTAAGAAGGAAACAGGATTCCCTTTGATGGATGCTCTCGCGATAATGCGGTTGTAAAAAATCGGCACAATGGGATAGCCCAGTCGTAGCCTGCATTTCCTTCTGGAAATATTCCGTTCCCCATTACACAAGGAGCCGCTCAACTGGCCAGGAATAACAAAATTTTCGTATCACCTTATCAATGTTCCGTAACTGGAAGAAATGACCCTGTTAAGAAAAAATACTGCTGGACAATTTTTTAAAGAGGCCCCGCGTGTTCTCTCAATTATTCGAGCGACTCAAAATGTAACGAAATAAATGGAATATTTTTGCACATAAGAAATAACTGCAATTGCAATGCATAATTTTAATTGAATACTTTAGTGTCCAAGCTGTGAACTTCCGTATCGTTTTAAAATATCCAGAAAACAGTTGTTGGTCTAGCGCACAGATAAAAAACCTAAGGTCACTTTGTGTCGCAAACAAGAATCACTGGTTTCAATAAAATGGCTTTTTCAAAGCATCTACCAATGTATATCACGTTTCAGATATATCTCGAATATCAAAACGCATCGAATTTCTCTTGTACGTTACGTACGTACCTCATTGTCAGTCATGAAGTCTCCATCAGGGATTCTGTGGTTACTTTAGTGTTTTCATAGAAATGAAGGTTTGAGAAAATTTTAAAAGGCAGCCAAAAGAAATTCATTTTAGACCATCCCGAAGTGCTTACTAAAATTAAACCTTTTTTGTTATCAAATAGAAGCATATATTCCTACAAACCCATCTACCTAAAGACGAGTGTTTGATACATAACTCCATTTTAAACAAGGATTAAAAGTATTCAATTCAAGATTATATCACAAAAATCCATGTCAACGTGAAAACATCAATCTTGAGACCAAAGATTATCAGGAATTTAATAAATAATACGAGTCACAAGTATCCATTTGTACAATGTGTTTTATTAAATAAATATCGGTTGCAACAATTCAATTGGGAATTTCATATGGTATAATATGAACGCACTTTGCGCCGCTAATCACGATAAGTACTAAGTGATTCACCGCGATCGATTCTTGCCTTACACATTTACAAAAAGTGAAATCGAAGGGCACTTACAATGGAAATGGTTCGAACTAAAAATTCCCCAGAATTATTGTACAACTTCGCAAAAGGGCGAAAGACTTCCTAGAAATAATGATTCGGCTATTCGTCCTTCCAGACGATAAGCTACGGACGGAAAGAAGGACGGAGAGCCACTTCCATCAAAGTTGATTTCTCTTTTCATTATTGACATGATAAGGCAGGTTATTTCAATCATTTCGCACACTTCTATAAGATTCTATATTTACAAAAAGTCGCGAAAGTTTTAACAACTTTTGTTGCGCCAATTACGATGATGCTATAAACATCCTACGGAAAGGAGAATTCCAAATAGTCTCTGCATAATGTATGTATACACGTGCACATTTGCACTATTTCAAGGAACGGACTCGTTAATCGATTCTCAGTTTCTGTAGAAATGCATTAACTGGATCACAATCCCCCCACTCTATTACGTCGCAACATTGTTACCAGATTTTTTAGGTGCGTCGGAAATCTGATGCAAATATTGGAACATTAAACAGACGGGTATTGATGTGCCACTAGACTAAATACGGAGAGGTTTATTTAGGAGCACAAAGTTAAAATTAATTCTTCTAAATATTTGTGCTATCTACATTGTGCCGTGGTCTGTCACATGAATCTTAACAACCACTGCATCGAAGAAAACTAAGTACATATGTTAACCAATTCCAGCACGATTTGGTCATGGTTATTCTAAAATAAGAATTTCATCGTATCATATTCGGTACGGCAATCTGATTCCTTGCTGGTTTGTTAACGGGGACCTTTGGAAATACAACTTCAAAAAAACGTAATACCTTCAAAGCAATCTAACTTTTGTAAAATCTAATATTTTTGCGTTTCTCGATTCCATGATCACATCGACTTGTCAACTGAAATTTAATTTAATTATACAAAAAACAAATTGTTAGTCTTAGAGCTGATTTAGTAATTAATATATAATATCGAATTTATGTGACTTGCAACCAGACAAATTCGAAGTATTTTCACTCTAAAAAAGAATGAAAGTCGTAAATCACATAATATCCGTAATTATTATGTACTTCTTGGTTTTAATTGTTATCATTAAATTCATCCCAAAATTTGTCAACGGATGCATCACTCTAAATATCGCGTTCATACGTTATTTTTCAAACTATAAATCCGATACATATTTTTTCTGTAGACCTGGACATGCGGAATTCATGATAACGTAATTAAATCTATTAATTGACTTTAAAGTAAGCAAAATACGTTCTCTTTAAACTCGAGGACATTCTTTTCAAAATAATACGAAGTTCTTTCCGAGACATTTAAATTCGGATAACATTTTTTATTCATGCCACAATTTGTAATCCAAAGCTTCCTCTCTGCCCGATTCTCATATCTTCTCTGTCATCATAAAACTAATTAAATTCTTACAGAGGGATAAACCATTGGATTGCGCAACATTTCTCTGACGATTAACTGTTTTCCTGTAAAACTTAAAAACATTTTGAAACAAAGTAATGATCTTCCGGGTCCCCGTTCCTCGCTTTAGTCTAATTAGTACCATGGTTCTTTATCCGAATGTCGAGGTATTATTGCCAAGGCGATCCTTCAATAGCAATAAACGTATGCACCGCTCGAAGGTTCCTTAAAGAAGTTTTAAATCTTAAACTCGAAGAGCAGAATCTTCTTCAAACATTGTACAAATCTTCTTTAAGGATCCCACCCTCGTTCTTTTCCTATGCGGTACAACGACTATCTAGCAGCAGCTGTTTTCGGACGTAACCGATACTATTTTCAGGTCGCACGTTAAATGAAAACAAAGAAAAATAAGATTAATTTGACCACGCAATGTTTTCACAACAATAAGTCTTCGAATCGTAGACCTCTTCAAAACAGTCCGAAAATTTTCTTCGAGGACCCTGTACTGCGCTTTTTCCTAGCTGGTACCACAATTTCCGACCCATCGGTGTTCAAGGCAGCTAAAGTGATATTAGAAGGTGTCAGTTTACTCCGGACTTGTTCATCCAGCAGCGCTTGCATGTCCATTTGCCATTGCTCCAACTGTTGACTCAATTCGATCTTCTGCTGGATGGCTTCCATAAGTTGGCTATTTGCCTGAAGGACGTCTATTCTCGTTCTGGCAAGTTCCACTTCGGCTCGATTCTTCCTAGCTACGGCTTGATCCCTAACCTTGTAAGCTTGAGCAAGAACCTCGTCCTTAGCGAGTTCGGAGTGCTCGATGTCTCCTCTGGCTCGGTCTCTCTCCTCTCTAACGCCACGCAGCTCGGCTTCGCAAACGCTCAGTTTGCTCGTCGTGTCCAAGAGAGCTTCTCCTCTCCGCTTCAACTCCTCCTGGGTTTGCTTTAATTGATCCTTTGTGTGATCCAACTCTTCCCGTACTCTGTGAAGTTCGACGGCAAGACCCAACTCTCCAGGCGCACCTCTTCCGGAGAGAGCTAGCCTGAACACTTCCTCTACGAGCTCTGTTAAGGCACCAGGGTAATTTATCTGAAAAGAAAGAAGAAAGAGAAATCAGTGGCAAAGTATATCTCAATGAATGTAAACTTTTATTTGTATCAATATGGACAACTATGCTCAATACGAAACCGTTCATAAAAATGGAGACCTCAGAATGTTCAGGATATTTACGTTGTCTTTACTACAGATTCATAATGGCAGGACTTTCTAACATTAGATCGACACTTCAATGATTAGAAGATTAAAAAATGTACATCTTTCATCAGTTAATGGTTTTTATTAGAGCAGTGACGAAATGTTAGAAAAAAGTTATTGCAAATACCCAACATTATTGATTATTACGTTAACCCGTGTGTTCCGATAATAGTACGTGTACTATCCGTGTTCCGACGATACTACACCAACTACTGTCATTATGGTCAAATGAAACACGTCGAGAAATTTGATCGACATTCGTCAAAAATTCTTCTAACTATCTACTTTACCGACCGAACTTTACCGAACTTATATTAGATATCGTAATAAATGGCATGCTTCATGTATCGTTTCTGTACAATAATTGTAAATAAATCGAAGTAAAACTCCAGAAATTCCCTGGACTCACGGTTTTTGTTGTCCTAATTATCTACAGAGTGCCACTCTGCGCCATCTGTGATTTTAGTGCCAACAAAATTTTCCTTCCAAGATCTCGTGTTACCCTCATTTCAGTATAAACGCGCACAAGACATTTCTTGTCTTTATTTCATTCAAATGGGAATTTTTTGGTTACTACTGTTTTAAATTATTGTACAATTATCCTGACACTTTCGTTTCTTATATCAGGGCCTTCAATAATTGTATATTGATCGAAACGCGAGAACTTGACACCATTTTGGTTCTGTTCTATGCAAAATGGAAAAAGTTTTCGAAAATCCAAATTCCGAAACTGTCAGGATAATTCTTAGGTGGTTACGAGTCATGTGTCAATGTTTCGGATAGTTTGATCCAATACTCTTTAAAAAAAAAAAAATAGTTTTATTAGAATCGACTGATTTGAGGGGGGGGGGGCATTTCACCTTAAGGATCCAATGTCCCTACTTAATTTCAACAGTTTCACTGCACTTCAGATCACTTTGATGTTTTTTAAAGCCAATAATTTTCATCATATTAATAATCTATAACGAAGATTTGGAAAAATAAATGAACACTATACGCTTATTATATTGGTTCATTTCCGTGTTAATTACAAACAAAGTACATGTTTAAAGCTATATATTGCATGCATTTTTCACGAATAATTTAAACGAAGGAACGAAATTCTACAGGGGTTAAAATTAATAAGATGAAACCGTTTAAAAAAGTCCAGAAACTCTCATTCCACATCGTGTAAAACCTTCAAAATCCAATATTTTGCAACCCGTCATTCAATACAACTCGTCCCATTTATTAATTATAACAACGTACTTTTTCTAAACTATTGTTTTACGAGATTAATCATAAAACTGTGACTTCTCTACACGAAGCATTGGAAGAATGTTCAGATATGTTGTCAATATTACAGAATTGAACGTAGCTTTAATTACAGGGTACAGAAATCCTTCGTTGTAGTAAAGTATGTTATAATAATAACATAGGAGCAAAATAAATTAATTCCCACCCCATATTCGACAGTAAACAAAATAAAAAAAGACTGCTCTTTATTTTAAATATAACATCGGCGAGCACAATTATTGCTTGGTTTCTTGGTCCTAATAATATACTTATTTACTTCATATCGAACAATAAACGAGAATATATATGAAGTTGATTTGCTACTCCAGTTCAGTTATTCATTGAAGTATCTAGATCAATGTCTCATACCATTCGCAATAAGGTCGGTACAGCTATTAATAGAAGCTCATCCTACGATCGACTGGAATAATCTAAATCATTAACATTACATTCCGTAGAAAAGCGGTAAATACAGTGTACAATGGCGGACATGAATGCCTCCTCTGCAGGTATGGCATCGCCTGTGCAGGATAGGAGGGCATTGATGTCTCCCAGTGTACTCCCGCGCACAGGCTAACGTAGAGTTTTCCTTTGTCGCCCGATCACGTACTACGGTGTAATCGATCCACGACATCGACGGATGATTAAAAACAATAGCCGAGATCGATCGTGACATTCGAGGAACGGTACCCTTCGTCGGACAAAAAAGGAAACGCGATTCCTGTGCGAGAAGAGGAGAACTTTAACTCGACGCCCACGACGCTTTCAGCTCGATTCACAATGAAACCCATCCTCGACCCTCTCGATATTAGAATCATCTTTCATATGTATTGTGAATTTTCTTCTACAGTTCCTCGCTCCCACCCGGAAGTGTCAGATTTTGGTCACACAAAAGAGTTATTGCAATCCTTGCCTGCATTGTGTGCCACACGTATAATTGAAACCACCCTGTAGATGGTACTCTATCGTTTCTAACATTACGAGTGCATTTAGAAAATAAGAATTGACATCGATCGTACATCGAAACATGTTTTGGCGTTCTTGCTCCCGAAAAATGAATGCTCGCAAAATAATGGACGATTTTTAGACAATCAACCCTTCGTGGTCAAATTCCGTTGTATTTTACGTACTGTCAAGTCCAATTTGATTCAAAATGAAAAGTCCTATGTCACCGTTTAGATGATACAGAACTTCTAAAATGAGAATGACAATGTCGCTTTAGATATTAAATGAGATCGCAAAGGATTAAAATGTGTCAACCAATGTGCTAATACAAAGTTACTTTAAATAAAAAATGTATTAATGTAGTTAAACGAATGAAAAGTAAATATATCTGAATAGATATTATTACAAGATTCTTGAGCAAATCGCGCAAATTTGGAATTAAATTAATGCCTCCTATAAAATGGCGTACGTTCTAATATTAACACCCTACCACAGCGCAGTAGCTAACGCAATCGAGCGTTGCGGGGGATTAAGGTGATATGAAAGGCGTCGAGAAATTTAAGCGACCACGATAAAATACAATTCATTTATACTCTTTTTGGTTGTGAAGCTATTTCGGAACCCATGTGGCACGTTTATATCACCTTAATGTCTCGTGGAAGGCAAACTTGCGGACCGTCACCCTGCATTACGACAACTCCCCGAGTTTCAATATTCGCACTATTTTGTCAAATTTTAAAACTGGGACCCCTTGTAAGGGACCATTTTGAAATTAGTAGGCCTATACATATTCCGGGAGGGGGTTAAAAACTAATGACATTTCTGAAATCAACAACCCCGAGATATGCGGTATGTCTTTTAGCGTTTTCTTACATCTATCCATAATGTGTTTCAAATTCCATGATATTTAGTTATCTACCCACTAAACAACAAACTAACGGACAACGGCACTGCTCAGGCACCGCACAAAATGAAATATCTGTATATTACCCGTATATAAATGTTTATTGACTGTATATGAGATATATATGGATATCTATGCAGAATATTTTAGATATACTCAAAGATTAGATGGCCGGATATTAAACGTTATTCACACACACAGGCGCACGCGCGCGCGCGCCTGTGTGTAATAAGTAGATAGTAGATCGATAGTGGATATATAATTTTCATCTACAATAGGCACAGATATTTATACATATCCTTTAAATATTTATTATATATATATATACTATAGCCATATACCTTAAATAGATCCATATATTTACATAAGATATTCTTTTAAGGTGGATGATAGACGATATACATTTGCTATACCTGTAGACCTAATTTAGTCAATTAATTTACGTGTATTCCACTTCATGGATTGCCTGGGCTATGGCACGAATAGCCATCTGACAAATTTATTCTATTGTTGAATCCACGTTAATTTTAACACCTGATACATATATTTGCTTACAATGCTGCAACTATTATTCATTTCAATGATGTACCTGGATAAGTACCGTTTGAAGAGTGTAAGTAATTCTCGGCACTTATCCCTTTTTTGTACCAAATACTTCATGAAAACTAACGTTCATTGACGTGTAGAACTCATTGATTGAAAATATTTGTAACATTATATGCGCTACTGGACATCGAAGTTCTAGAACAAAAAATAGGCCATAGGAGTCCTTTGTTTGATGCCTACCTCACTGTCAGCCCCGTTGAGTATGACGAGCATGGATTCGTCGCAGTCGCTCTGCAGTCCGGAATCGTCCTCGCCCCTTCGCAGCTGGGAGCAAAGCTCTCTTAGACGCTTACTCGCCCTTGTCACTTCCGCCCGAAGGTCTTCCTGCTCCCCGAGGGAACTTCCGCTCTCCTCGCACTCCATTTCCGCTTGCAAAGAACGGGGAGGCTTCGCTATCGAGCCCGATCTTCCTCTCCTCTCGGCCTCGATCGCCGCCAAAGCAGCAGCCAGCTCATCCCTGAAATTACGATGTCTGATGTAACACCGATAGCATCCGGCATCGTATCAGATTTAAACAAGCGGCGCACAGTGGAGCCAAATCCCAAAAAACTGGCCAAAAATAAAAAACCTATTCCAGTTGGGTTGAAACTCGCTTACTCTGGTGTTTTTGGGGTCGCTGATTACGAATCCGAAGTCAACAATTTTAAAAACGAAATGGCGGGTCGAATATGACAGACATATTTTCGAGAAATACTTTCAATTTAGCTGAAATTCTGTATTGGGGAGTTTCTGGGGTCGCTGATTGCGGATCCAAAGTAAAAAGTTTAATAAAAATAAAACGGCGCACAGAGCCGATGCCGTCAATAGTTAGGAAAAAATACAATTTTCAGTTTGCGTACAAATGGTACATCTGTATCTAAAATCAGTACAAGTACAAATTGGTAACCTGAAACTAGCTACGATATCGTTGTGCACTGCAACGGACTTTAGTGACAACGGTCGAAAATTGTGCTTCTTGTAAACAGAGTTCATAGCTAAAGACTCGCCGTGGCTTCTTGACCTCCCTCGCACCTTAGAGGTCCTCGGTCTGGAAAGGGCATCGCTTTGGAACGTGGGGGAGGCTCCACGATCCGCCACGTTACACTATTTAACCCTTTTAGTGTCGGACAACGATATATCATCGTTTTAGAAGGGCTAGCGACTAAAGCCGGCATTAAAAGGGTTAATGCAGCATTATTTTCATCTATGTTTATGAACATTATTTTCGGTTTCTCCTCATAGGACGTATTGGCACAGTTTGAGTGTTTCGTCTAGAAACACCAATAAGATTTGGTTTCTGAATCAATGTTAAAAACAGAAGTTCGCAATATTATAAATACACTGATAAGTATATACGGCATACGTAGAATAATTCAGAAGGCGAAAAAGTAATGTTTTCCCAAATAACGAAATGTTTATCGTCGGTGAACCATCGGCTGTATATCAACACGCATGTGTTAAAGTACTGTAATGCCGTCATTTAGATGTAGTTTCATATTTTCGAAATGTACATGCATGTGGGTTCCGAGAACGGCATTGCGTAGCATAGCTCAGGAAGTCCCCTTGAGAAGGAAGCTCAACATCCGCGGGAACGGAGTCCAGTAACCACGAGAGAAGACGAGGCGCCACAAAAACGAGGAGCTCTCATCCCTTCTAGAAGCCTCTTTATCAGACTTAGGATTAATTCCTTTCCGTAGCGAATTAGTTAGTCCTATGTAAGATCCGCAAACTCTTCGAAACAGAGCGCTAGACATCCTCCGTGAACATTATGCATTATTATAATAAACTGAGTCCAAACCAAAAAGGGAAAAGTATCTTTGAGGAGAATCCAACCATCGCCCGCGGCATAACGGTACTAAATGTTTTGTAATAGTTATCAGGCACGTTGTGCATCCGCAACAAGCAAAACCCAGTCAGTAAACGGCGTGACCAACACAAGCTTAACGGAAGCCACTTTATCGCACCACACGAGACGACTAAAAACGTGAATAGCGTGGAAAAAGCAACAGAATCAACTATCGTTTTTCTCATACTCGGTCTCTTAGGGCCCTTTCAGGTTCCCGAGACGTGATCGGTCGATTCGCGCTCTACGGGATCCACTTCTGTGCATGACTCAGACCCGTGAGCCGGAGGTAAGAGTCGATATCGATGGTCATTAAATCGATACGTTCGTCACTGCATCGAGACCCAACTCCGATGACATGGACGATATACGGGAGGGGGGGCAGAGTTTGGATATGCGATAAGAGGTGGCAAAGGTGTCCAATTCCCGATGGTCGGTCATTGCGTCGAAACGGGTCGGTCAAGTTTGTCAGCGATCGGCTCACCTCTCGTGTTCGGCCACTCTCGCTCGGTGTTCCGCTTCGTGACCCAATCGCTCCAAGGCCGCGGCCCTCTCCTCGGCCTCCTCCAGGGCGGCCACGGCCCTGGCTCTCTCTTCGCGCAACTCCAAGGATCTTCTCTCCAGCTCCGTCCTCTGGGCAGAGACCAACTGCACCTGCAACTCATCCGACATATTTAAATTCGATTCCTTCTCGCGTTAGCCTTGTAAGTCTAGAAGGAAGAAACAGCTAATGGATAGTGTCCTTTTAACGTTCATCGAATCTCTACTCCGCCTGATATAGACCCAAAAGAGACGAAGGATTTTAAGCAAACCTAACTGAAAGTACTAGAAGAAAAGAACTTTTATTTTTATTTGTTTAATAGCAGCCATCTACCTTTTCGAGTATTTGTCTATATTTCTGTGGGAGCGCATGTGTCTATCATTACTTCACTTTTCTGCGTACTTCTTCTTTTTTATATCCGACCTATTATCTTAGTCAACGGACAATATCTTATCAGCTTTCTGATACAGTCACTGTTATTAGATAGTGTTTGTCCAGAGATTGCTGCATGTTGCGGCTGCACCTTATTGCCTTCTGTTTTGCACATTGTAGGAGCATGTGTTTAACTGTGATTTGTGTTCGCAATATATCGCATTGAGGTGGTAGTTCGTCCGAGAATCGGCATGCGAGTTTGTAAGTCTCGTCATTATCGTTTATTATCTTCCATTTATAATCAATTGTAGTGGTGACGTCCATTCCTCTGTTTTTGGTTTTATTTCTTTCAGTGCCGATTCGATATCATCCCAATCTTTTTGCCACTTTAACATTATCCGTTGCTTTGCGCAGTCTCGTATGCCTTCCGGGGTAGCTGGTGTATGATCTCGGACCTGTTTTGGATGCTGCTACCTTTGTTTTTCAATCGACCATCTCATTATCTTTAATGCCTATGTGACCCGATATCCTTTTTTCTGTGGTCTTATTACATGAAGTGTTGCAATTATTGCTCGTACTTAGTTATCTGTGACGTTGTTCGATTTTATATTCTGTATTGAGTTCTCAGAATCTGTGCATAACAGAAATTTTGTTTCCGTTCAGTCTTCACAAAAACGCAGAGCTTTCCATATTTCATATAGTTATGAAGTGTATACACTGCTGAATTTCTGTAAGGTCTACGTGTAGGATCTCGGGTTTGCCAATTGGCACCTTCTACTTCTGCCTTTGTCTTGTTGTCATCAATTTAAATGGCCGTGTAGTTCTTGTATTCTCCTTCGTTTATGTCTTCAAATAAGGATGTGCACACCGTGGCGTTTGTTGTTGCTTTTTCATTGTTTGCGATCTGATTTTCTATTTTAGGTTGCATGATTTCCCACAATGGAAATTCCATTTCCTTGCAGATAAATATCTTGCCTTGTCCAATATTATATGATTTTTTAAGTTCGTGTGCCTCGCCGCAGGAGGATCGTGCTGTGTTGGTGTTTTGAGAATAGTTGTTTTGGGATTCCTGGTCTTCGAATAGAATTTTGTAAATAATATGGCTCGGCATACACAATACTTTCGTAATGCAATTGAGAGGTAGATGGTCTCGTTGTATTGTCAATGGTGGTATGTGCGCTTCACAGCATAAGCGGTGTCGCAGGTTGCTTCGCAACGCTGCTGTTGAGAATCTGGGCCGGGATTCTATGCACCACATTCGATAGCCATCGACGTTGGTAGCCGCGTGATCTCAATGGGCTAACGATATCGATAACTGTTGAATTGGCGTACAGAATCCCGGCCCTGATACCTATGTTGTGAATTGTATCGAAAGCTTTCAATCGACTTTGTCGTGCCGAAGCGTACATAATACCACTGTAATCGACTCTTGATAGGATTACCGTTTTGCAGATTTTTAGAAGCATTATTTGGTTTGTGCCTCACTTAATGCCTAATAATATTTTCGGTTTATTCACAACGTTTCGATATTTCGTGATTGTTTCATGAATGTGTGCATTCAAGGTTGGCGTATTAAATTCCAATCTCAGGTATCTGACACTCCCTTTACACCTAATTACACAACTGCCAACGTGCACCGAGAGAAAAATCTAGTTAAATTAATTATTTTTGAACTAGACTCCGTAGTTCAAAAAGGACTCGGATACTTTTTATAGTAACATTAACTTTGTAGCGGTATTTTCATGTTTTGAATATTCGCGCAATCGCATGTAACCGATCTGTGAGGCCTCTACCGGGTTGTCCGAGTAGTCTCTCTGGTGCGACGATTTCGGTGGTATCGGGAGGACAGCGCTCGCCCTCTCGACCAGCAACCTTCGTCCAAGGCGCATCACGAAGGAGGACCTCCTGATCCAAGGATCCAAGTTGTGAGCAACAATTGGGCGACGTTGTTGCCGCTCATCGACGGATCAGCCCTTCAATTTCCCCCGACGGCTTTTCAACCGATCGATACAACCCTGGGCTCCACCGATTTGAATAGAACAAACGGCAAAATGTTTGTAATAATGAGGATAGAAAAGGCATTACGAGGTTTGTAAGGTGGCCCATTGCTAAAAGGGCTAAATCAGCCCTTCAATGATCACCACCAATGCCTCCCGTGTAACTTGAGCTTAAGCTGAGAGGTGAAGCTGAGTTTAAGAAACTGGTGTATTATTTGTCTTAATCTCATTCGATCAATCTTTCAAATCAATCTTTCTTGATAATAGCCAATAAATCAGCATAAGAATATCTTTTGTTCCGAAATGTGATTTTTTCGCTCATTGTGAAGGAGGGAATCTACCATTTCCCGGCAGTATGCGCTACTGAAAGCTATGGAGATTTCCCCTCCTCTACGAAAGAAATAGGAAGGTAAGTGGGTTGTTTAAATAAATTCAAATATATAAGAAATTAAGTAATGTTTAACAAAAGTATGGCTCTTAAGAAGTGGAAGGTGCAAAACATATTCGTACAACTTGTCGTTACGAATGTATAGGGCAATTCGCCTTGGTTAAACTAAGAAGTCATTTTTCTCGACATCTCTGGGATAGATGGTTTCAAATAAAGGTGGTTTTTTCCTTTCTTTGGTCTTGCATTTTTTGCAAGACTAAGACCAAGACTCGACCGTGAAACACCATGACCAAGACCAAGACTTCTTGAGTGTGCAAGACCAAGACGTGGATGTACATGACCCGAATGAGCAAGACCAACACCAAAAGTAAGCCCAAATAAAATAAAATCTGCAGATTACGAGGAGATGCATGATTTAAGTGTAATATTTTTGCAGTCGTGCTACTCAAGTCATTATTGCCCCATTGCCTCTATCATAGTGATTTGTTGAACCGATGATGCACACTCTCTTTCAACGTCCGCAATATCACCTTTATCTAGACTCAAACGGAAGGCAGCCTATCTTAAGCCACAAGAATTATTCGAAGAAAAAGTCCTAATGAGATTGCATATGAAGAAGCTCCGAACGGAAATCACTGACATAGACAAATAAGATCACAGAAATGTTCCATATTCATTGCAATTTCTTCTCATGCTGCGCGAGTAAATCTAATCAGGAAGTTTCCTCACCTCGTCTCTTAAGACCTCCAAGCTACTGACATGGTCCTGAAGAGTAGTGTTTCTCAGGGCACACTTCTCTCTGAGGACTTTAACTTCCATAAGAAGTTGTTCTTCCTGTTTGGCCGCTTCTCTCAGCTGATCGGCTAATCGTGTGTTCTGAGCCGTTAATTCGGCCACCAAGGCTGTCTGATCTCCTTCCGCTCTTCTGGCTCGCTCAGCTTGTTCTTCAAGTTGGGCTCGAAGAGCTTCGACGTCAGCCTGAAGCTCCAATGCTCTTGCTTCGCTCTCTTCTCTCGCTTCCTCCAATCTTCTGCGGAGGAGATGCCTTTCCTGGTGCAAACTCTGTAAGACAAAAATATTACAGTCCATATTAAATTCTCCGAAATTCCTCGACAAAAAAAAATATTATTATTATCATTTTGAATGTGCAACACGGTACTCGTTATCGAACAAATTACTCTTGATTCCGCGTACAGTTGTTTACATGCCTTGCTCTTATATATTATAAAATATGAGCGTCAAAGTCGTATGTAAATTGAAAGCACATACTGTATCATTTATCTATTGCAAGGATTAAGGGGCCTTAATACAGACTAAATCGGTAACGCCGAAGTAACAGCCCGTCTTAAAATTGTGGCAATGCTTCGATGATTTTCAACGATTTCCAGTGATGTCAGCATGCGATTTCTAACTGATTTCTACGTGACTTTGAGCAGTAAAATACATGATTTGCTGAGTGAATACCCCCTCGTAGCAATAAATGTGGCAATATTGTAAGGTGACGATTACTATCGTCGATATCGTAGACAAATTTGCAAGGAAGTTAGTATAATCTGGAAAAGAGACGCAACGATCGATTCAACCGTCATTAGAATGTGTATCAAGGCTCCTTAAGCAGTAATAATTACTTTGTTGGTTACCCGACCTACCGTAAGTTTTGTGTATCTTATCAGATGGCATTTATGGAAAGTAACATATGAAAAAAGTAACATATTACCATGCAAAATATATTTAGAAAGAAATAGTCTGGTTATCGCAATAAATCACATGTGGTGATATGGATGAATCACTTAACTGGTGTATGTGATTACCTATTTTGAAATGCTAATACCGGAAATAGACCAGGAAAAGAAAACATTTAACGAGGTGTGAGGCGAAAGTGTTACACTAGTTGAGATAGAAGAGAAAAGAAGTTTTCTACATGTGGTAAGGAACTATATACCGCGTTTCAATTGATTACAGTACGTAAATGCCAAATATATAATGTATGGGGTTTTCGTAATACCGTTGGATATATATTGTATTTCTACACGGAAAAGAAGAATCTTTTAAACTTACAGAAAAATATGTGAAATGTACAGATTTCATCTGTTGAAATAGGGACTGCCCGAGAAAAGTAATATATATAATCATGTACCTTTTCGTACATGGTTATATGGAATTGCATATGATGAAGATATAATGGTGTCCGATCAGGTATGGAACGTATATTTTTTATATATGATCAAATATTGTATCATGAAATATGTAATCAGATATAATGCTATATCTACTCAGGCAGGGCAATACCTATTTATTCACGGAGTTATGTATGACAAGATATAATTGCGTATAACTCTAGAATCAGATATAGGAATATACCTTCTTATATACGTCGTGGCCAAATTGTACAGACGGCAAAATTCTGCCGTCACAATTAGGGGCGCGGCGGTAGCGGTGAGTACCGAATTTTGACATTATTTAATTTCAGTATCGGTTGGCGACACTCGGGGCCATCTTGGGCGATCATTAATTGTAAGTATGTGTTGTAAAAATTCGCTGGTATAAGAGTTGTTATTTAGTAAGTATCGTGTATGGTCTGATATTGCGGGTCATTACTGCCGTCGGTACGAGTCGAGGAGAATAATTCGAGCATTCTATAACAGCGTCGCGATACTCTTCCTGACACCTAGCGTCATCGCCGCTAATTGCCGTCATCTGATACTTTCGGCGGCTCGTTGCGGAATCGGTGGAAGGGGTTTTCCGCAATTCGGTGGTCCTGCCGATCCTCGGAGTTCATTGTTCAGGATACTCCGATTGTCGCCGGTACTACCGATGACCGCTCTTCTCCCGAGGTCGCTGACGCCCTGCTCTCGTCTCGTAGTTGAATTGCCACTAACTTGGTGAGCAAACCCAAAGTGGGTTTTGTTAAAGATTCCTTTCCGCTCAAAGTTTTAATTAATAGCGACTTGTATCCTCCTCGACACGCGATCCACCGTCCGTCGTGGCGACCGGCCGCGTGCGCCGGAAGTATCGTTCCAAAAAAATCGGTGAGTTCTCGTGCGATATATGTGTGTGTCCCGTGAGCGTGATCCCGCGGCTTTTGAGTAGGAATCATCGCTCCCGGAGCCGGAATTGTCGGGCCGTGGACCGAGCGGAGTCCGAGCAGGCGCTGTGTCCTGGAGGGCTGGCATTGCCGCCCGTCTCGTGGAACCACGAGGTTCCCGTCTTAGAGTAGCGTGCCGGCGGTATCCAGAAGTCCGATATCTTGCGTAACGTGTGTAGTGTCTCCGAATTGTGATCGCGAGAGCGCGAATAAAGAACTACCGTGCCGTCTCACAAAGAATTTCGTTGTCGTGTCCTTTCTTTTTACGGTCCGTCCTCCCGGTACCTTTCGCGTTGCTGGAGGACCTCGAACCCCCCGCCTCTACCGTGCCGCGGAAAGTCGCGAGGACTTCCACTGGGCTGAGTAGCCACTGATCGGGGCCGTTCTCCGTCCCGTGGCGTCGGCCTTGCCCGTGCCGGGATTCGCAGGCCGCGGCGCGCTTCTCGCGCCTGGCGCCCTAATAGAAATAAAAGCGGCCTTGTGGACGTGAGGCTAATTTCCTTCGGCGGCCCCCGCGGAGTGACGCTCCATCTGTGGACTCCGATCCTTTCCCCCCGTTTGCAATATATATATTGCAACTTGCCTTGCGTACCTGTCCCTCCCCTTGGTCGGTCACGCCGTGTCGCGCACGCGGTCGATCGCGAGGAAATGTCTTATTTGCCTTTTTGGCTTACCCTGGATTTCCTTTCGACAATCTCAGACTAGCTAGGGCTTTCAATGGCGCAGAGCCTCAGCCTCTAAGCATGTTTCACCAACGAAAGCCGTGTGAAAGAGAATGCAGGGATTGAATATGTGCCTCGTCTGAGAATGGTTCGGTCGTGGACCTGAAGTTATCAAGGGTCTCTGTGTGTCTGTCCGTTGCGTCTCGTAAGGTTTTTAACTAAAAGTTCGTTTTATATCTTTGAACTATCAAAGGTTTTGTGTGGGCGGGCTCCACGTTCACACTTTGTGCAATGTGTTCCAGTGACCCTTTAACAAAGGGGGACCGGCGCCGTGCCGTCACGCCCTCGGAATGTAAGTGTGGAAGAACGTTGCACCGAGAGGCTGGGTCGCCCCGCACCTCTAGTCACCTGAAGAACGTCGCGACGACGTCATGGCGGGGACTTAGACGGGGGGGTACGAGACCGTCTCCGATATACGCGGTTCCTGTTCTCCTTCGTCAGGCCCGGAACTGCCCATGCAACCAAACACACGTGGAACGTCGCGATGACGTCACGCCGAGGGGCAGGTGCTCGAATGCAAGACCGTCTTCGAGTCTGAGAGGTAGGATGCGAATCGTCTCGAGACAACGTCGCAATGACGTCACGCCGAGAGGACAGACTCGAAAACGCGAGATCGGGCCGCGGACTGTCTCACTGCAGGGTGGAAGGGGAACTGCGCCTTGCCGTCACGTGTCTCACGGTGCGCGAGTCGCTTCGTCGAATTTCCGAAAAGTTTGACGAAGACTTCCGGAAGGGGAATCCGTTACTTGGGCCGCCATTCGCAAGTGGTCCGAGGTATCCCAACCGGACAATTTGCCGGCGTTTTCCTCGAGTGCTCGGTACCACCTGCCTACTAAAGGAAAGATTCTGAGCTCGTAAGGGACGGCACTTGGTGCCACCGCGACTTAACAGATTGAGTGGCTACACGATCGGCTCAATAGGACTTCGTGTCTGCCACGCGGAGGTTCGTACGGAGAATAAGGAAATGAAAAGAGATTTGGCCTAAGGGTTCAATAATAAGTTTAATTGAAACGATACAAAGGCTTGCGTTGTAGAGTGTCCTCAGCTGTACGTAAAGATTCAAGGGTGTCTCGTGGTTCGCAACTTTCCGTAGTTCCTTTTAAGGTCGCATCGGTTTACATGTTTGCATCTGATTGGTCGCTAGTGGAATGGAGGGGGGATTCGCCAAGTGAAATTCCTCTGTGCCCTGATTGGCCCATTGCCTCGGAGAAGGGGGTCTCCGAAACTAAGTAAAATCGGAAATTTTGGAGGCCGATCCAGCTAATGAGTCATCGCCGGCGATCTCGGAGTAACCCAGCAGGTAATCACTAACAATGAGCCTAGTGTCGCTCGTATTACAATCCGTAACCATAAAACGAGGGAACAAGGCATGACCCTACTTTGGACGGTTAAACTATTGAGGTGCGACGAAAGAAATCCCGCTATTAATGGATCGATTATTGAGCCTGCGTGACAATAGGGTTTAACAGGGTCCCTTCAATGTCCCTTCGAGGTGAATTCCACGATTGTAAATGAGAGACAGAAAGGAGCGAGGCTAATCAATCTTACGGATGTAACACACTCCGTACCCGAGACGTAACAATACATATTCACGGGATATTTTTATTATGCATAGCGTAGATAATGTAAGTTTTCTATACTTATGTCCTAATTTGTACGCCCACTATAAGTATATTATACTTTATACGGTGCCTGGTAATACATCATAATTTACACAGTGGTAAAAAATCATGATGTATGGTCACCAGCCAAAGAGGAAGGAAATAAAAAATCAAAGTATGGACAAAATTAACAGTTTTATCAAGTTGGAATTTAGATATAAACATTAAGTATGTATGAAAAATGTTAGGTTACACGAGGTGTCTTTTTATTTTTCTAAGCGTATTTTCAACGATGTTGATTAACCTTCGGTAGATGTCTACTATAGCTATTATATATTTTGTATGCGTCAAGAAATAAGTAGATATTTGTGGATCAATAGTGGATATATAATTTTCATCTACAGTAGAGATAGATGTTTATATATATGGTTTAGATACTTTTTTAGATGGATGATAGACCATATACTATTGCTATACGTATAGACCTAATTTAGACGATTAATTTACGTATATTCCACTTTATGCGTTACATGGGTAGGGTCATCAACTATATTATATCATGTAGGTATTTTACATGCAACCCTGACAAGCCGAAGTGCTGAACATTGTTATCTTAGTGATGTTGGTGCTTTGCAAATTTTCCTTATAATGAAG